CCACTACTGCCCCGTAACCCCCGGGGCGCCCCGCTGTCCCCCACTACTGCCCCGTAACCCCCCCGGGGTGCCCCGCTGTCCCCCCACTACTGCCCCGTAACCCCCCCGGGCGCCCCGCTGTCCCCCCCGTGTCCGCCCCGGGCACCCCGCTGCCCCGTCCCACTCGGGGCAGGTGCGGCCCAACACAAACACGGGGCAAGCCGTGACCCATCCGCGCTGTGTTTCCCCAGACTCTGGGCGACCTGCTCCTGGCGCTCTACGAGATGGGATTCACCGAGGGGCAGGCGCGCGCGGCCGTCCAGGCCGGCTCCCTCAGCCTGCAGGAGGCCACAGAATGGTGAGTGGCCGCGTCCCCACCAGCCTGTGGGGCACAGCGCCACTGCCCTGGGGAGCAGCCTGGCCCCTCGGCCCAGCCGCCCGCTGCCAGGGGAGCCAGCCTCAGCCTGCCGCCGGGAGTCGCCAGGAGCTGCCATCGTGCTCTGCCCTCAGTCACTGTCCCAGGGCGGTGCTAGGGGGCACTGGGCCGCAGGGTGGGGGCTGGGAGGGGGTGCTGGGGAGTGGGGCGGGGGCTTGGTGGGAGGCACTGGGTCATGAGGAGCGGGGCAGGGGCTCGGCAGGGGCTTTGGGGAGCAGGGCGGGGGCTCAGCGGGGGGCAGCGGGGACTCGGCGGGGGGCAGCAGTTGCGGGCAGTGGGGCGGGGGCTCGGCGGCAGGCGCTCTCTCCTCAGTCTCCAGCAGTGTGTGGCTAGAGGGCACTGCATGGCTCGGGACGCCATCTTTCAGGTGCTGTGCAGAGCTGATGTCCTGGCCATTTGCCTTGTGCTCGTTAAAGATCTTGGACGCTTTTTGCGAGAGGTGGGTTGTCAGGCATGAGTGGCTGGGACTGCTCGGTGTAGACGGGAACAGGATGACTGGATACAGAACAACGAATGGGTCAGGGGGTGGATGGGGGGGCTCCTGTTTGCCCTCTCACAACACAAGGATGAGGGGACATCCTGTAAGGCTGAAATCGTGGGAGAGCAAATACTTGTATACATGATGCCCTGTTAGCCTGTGGAACTCCATGCCTCATGATATAATTACGCCAGGGGCTCCGCAGGACTCGGAGAAGGAACAGACATTTACAGGCGTAATAAACCACACTGGGGCACCGCTGTTTCCGAAGGAGAAGGTGTTTCTGTGACTCGTGCTCAGAGCAGCTCTTGCGAATGTCGCCCGCTCTCGGTGGTAACCCCGTGCTGTCTTCCCGGCCCGTGGGAATGTGCAAGCTCTGCAGCCTGAGCCCCTTTGGCAGAGGCATTGGAGCTGGCCGTGGCATTGTGCCCAGACGTGCAGCGCCAGAGGCGACGGCTGGCGTGGCCCAGGAGCTTGGCTCTCCATTTGGGTGAAAGGTCTCGGGACAGCAGCAGGTTTTGTTCTGGTCCCATCGCTGCCTGGCTGAGCCGTCCTTCGTCGCAGCAAATCCAGGCCCCCCGCCGCCGGGGCTCTCCTCACCTGAGTGACTGCTTGGAGACCCCCGCCCAGTGAGCACAAGACCCTCTGCTTGGCCCAATCACTGACAGCAGGAGCGGGGAGGTGGCTGATCCGAGAGGGTGGGGGTGCAGGGCCGGTCTAGCCCCCCCAGCTCAAGGGTGCAGGCGCCGATCACAGCTGGCCCTAAAGCCGCCTGCAGGGTGTGCAGGCCAATGGGCGGGAGAAGCGACGCTGGGGGTCCTCAGATCCCCCCTCATTCTCTGTGCTTTGCAGGTTACTTCAGGAGAGGGGGCAGCGGCTCCAGACAGCGTCCCCCAAAGAGCCAGGAGGAGCAATTGCAGCTTTCAACCTTCCCAAGCTCCAGGCGGTGCCTTTGGGGTCAGAGGCTCCCGGTGCTGAGCACAGCTTGCCAGGTGCATGCCCCCCTACCCCGCTTGGCTCCTCTCCCTGGCAGGCGACTGCGGGGGCGGCTCCATCACTCTCTCTCTCTCTGCGCCCCCAGGGCCCAGCTCCGCTCCGTGGCCTGGGACCGAGGCTGGGCACAGCTGCAGGATGAAGGGAAGCCGAAAGGAGTTGGAAGAGCAGCGGCGGGAGCAGCTGGCTCGGGAGGCCAAAGCCGAGAAGCAGAACAAGCAGAAGGTGAGTGCCGTGGTTGGGAGGGAGGGTCTGCGTGTGGGACTGAGAGGAGCAGGGTGGCGGAGGGCAGCTGCCCTGGACGCTCCTGGCACGTGCCGTCTGCTCCCAGCGCTGCCGCCCGCAGTGTCTCCAGTGCCCTGGAGGTTTTTCGCCTTCCTCTGTAGCATGGGGCACGGGTCACTTGCTGGAGGATTCTCTCTGCTCCTTGAAGTCTTTAAACTACGATTTGAGGACTTCAATAGCTCAGATATAGGTGTGAGGTTTTTTTTTTTTTTGTAGGAGTGGTGGGTGAAATTCTGTGGCCTGCGTTGTGCAGGAGGTCAGACTAGATGATCATAATGGTCACTTCTGACCTAAATATCTATGAATCTATGAGTCTCCGGCTGCTCCTTAGGTTAGGTTGGATATTAGGAAAAACTTTTTCACTAGGAGGGTGGTGAAACACTGGAATGCGTTACCTAGGGAGGTGGTAGAATCTCCTTCCTTAGAAGTTTTTAAGGTCAGGCTTGACAAAGCCCTGGCTGGGATGATTTAGTTGGGGATCGGTCCTGCTTTGAGCAGGGGGTTGGACTAGATGACCTCCTGAGGTCCCTTCTGTCACGGAGTCCCCGGGCGATGCTCTGGAACTGCTCCCCATGAAGCCAGTCAGGACTCTGGGGCAGTCGCCTTTCTGTGAGCAGCCTGTCTTCAGGACACACAGCTCCCACCTCCCTGGGCCTGACCTTGGAGCATTCAGCATCCTCTGCCCCTCCGTGTGCTTCCCCCAGCGAGTCCGCTCAGGCAGGGCTCCTGGGAAGCCAGAGGGTCTTGCACCCCAACTTCGCAGTCAGACGTGACTCTCAGCCAGCCAGTAAAACAGAAGGTTTATTAGATGACAGGAACATGGTCTAACACAGAGCTTATAGGTGCAGAGAACAGGACCCCTCAGCTGGGTCCATTTTGGGGGGCAGTGAGCCAGACAACCACGTCTGCCCTTCACTCCATGTCCCAGCCAGCCCCAAACTGAAACTCCCTCCAGCCCCTCCTCCTCTGGGCTTTGTTCCTTTCCTGGGCCAGGTGGTCACCTGATTCCTTTGTTCTCCAACCCTTTAGCTCTCACCTTGCAGGGAGGAAGGGCCAGGCCATCAGCGGCCAGGAAACAGGGTGTCGGCCATTCTCTGTGTCCAGACCCCTGCACACACCTGCCCTCTAGGGCTCTGCAATGATCATACACCCTTACCCCACCACCTAGATACTTAAGAACTGCATAGGGGAAACTGAGGCACCCCCACAATATTCGGAGGAAACATTAAGAACAGTCCCACTTCGTCACACCTTCCAACCCTGACATTCTATGATTCCTGTGGCCGGCCATGCCCCCCAGAGGGGTGACCGCAGTTGGCTTTGCAGACTCAAGGTTGGGAGAAGCCCCTGAGTCTCTGGCTGCATCTCTGCCCCTCAGCCGCAGGCCGTGCCCCGCTGAGGCAGGGTGAGGTGGAGCAGGGCGAGGTGCTGGGCCCTGCTCCTGTGCCAGCAGGGAGCTCCCAGCAGTCATGCCCAGCCTCTTCCCCCAGGAGCGGGAGCTGGTGCTGCAGAGAATTGCTGACGACCGGAAAAGCTTCCAGGCAAAGACTCAGCGGGCCCAGAAGCCAGACCGCCCGGCTGCCCAGGGCCACAGGCCGGAGGGCCCAGCTCAGCTGGCGAGTGACGGGCAGTGCCTGCTGATGGTGAGTCCTGAACCCCTGCTGCAGAGCTGGTCTGGCCGGAGGATCTAAGTCCCTGGGGGCCCTGCTCCAGCCCCTCCTCTGACGAGGGGACGCCAGGGCTGAGGAGGTGCTGCCACCCAGAGGGAGCCCCTCCCTGGATATGCAAAACCTCCGGCTTCCCCTGAGAGCACAATCCTGCCAGGGGCATCCTGCCCTGGGCTGCATCCCGCCGCCTCCAGGAGACTCCAAGAGAAAACCTGGAGCTGAGTGGGGTCTCAGCAGGGGGCGCTCTCCCCTCAGTCAGTGCTGGCCCCAATGCCCTGGGGGGGGGCTGTGCGGGGGGGGCGCTCTCCTGTTGGAGTCAGTGCTGATCCCAGGGCCATGGTAGCCGTACTGCTGACCCACAAAGCCGGGCCTGGCCCCTTGTGCTCATTAGGTCTCCTGTCAGCTGAGATGCTGATTTTGGAGCCTGGCCAAAGTCTAACTTGCTGTCTGGAGCCCTGCTTTGAACGGGGCTTTGTTCTGCTCACTGCCCTGGCCTGCGGGCACTGATGCTCCACCCCGGTGTCCTTGCAATGCTGGGGCAGTGACCCCGTACACGCAGGTTTCGTGTTCCACCCCAGAGGTGGCTGCATCTTACCCTGCACTTGATGGCCTGGCAGGAGGAGGTGGAGGGGGCAGGAGTTGAGCCCCGTGCTGCCCCCTCCTTTGCTCTGAGGGGAGAAGGGGGCAGCAGCCGGTACTGTCTCATCTCCTGGCCTCAAGTGGGTTTTGTCTGGGCACGGAGCCGGGCTGGCGGTGCCTTGGGCCTGGGATGCTGTGCTTCACCCTGGGCTCTCTCTGCCCCCAGATCCGCCTGCCCTCGGGCCAGTGCTTGCGGGAGCGCTTCCTGGCCAACTGCCTTCTGCAGGACGTCACGCAGCACCTCTCGACTCTGCACCCCGACCTGCCGCCGTTCACGCTCCTTCAGGGCTTCCCCAAGCGCCGCTTCGGCCCGGCCGAGCTGTCCTGCAGCCTGCAGGCTCTGGGCCTGACCCCCAGCGCCACCCTGTGCGTCCTGGCCACCGAGCCCCTCCCATCAGGCACCTGCGCCCTGGCAGCCCCCCAGGCCAGAGACGGGCCCCTGCAGCCTCCCGGGCCTCAGGCCTTGCCCACGGAGGAGCACGCCTGGGGCCGGGGCGAGACCCTGGGCCTAGTGCTGGAGCAGGCCATGGCCGAAGGGATGTTCCCAGAGGCCGAGGAGCTGCGGCTGGCGCTGAGCTCCCCTGCGCGCAGGGTGGTGCCAGGGAAACCTGGGGTCCATGGCCTTTGGGAGTCGACCTCCCCACCGCACCATCGCTGGGGTAAGCTGCCAGCCTGCTGGTCGGGGGAGGGGCCCTTGGGGAGGCGTGTGCCCACCTGGCTTGTGAGGGGCTGGGAGGCCTGGCTCTGGGGACTCCTGGGTGGGCTGCCGTTTGCCTGGCCTGCCCCCTCTCTCTGTGGGAGGCAGGGAGATGAGAGAGAAGCGGGCTCTGGCCTCCCCTCGCAGGGAGAGGGCAGCATGAGCCTTCCTGCAGTAGCTGCCGTTGTCCCTCCCACAGGCCAGGGACAGCGGCTGACACTAGAGGATCCGGAGCAAGAGCCCGCAGCACCCACTGGGTGCAGCCCACTGGATGAGGAGCTGTCCCCTCCAGGTCAGCATCTCCCTCCCTCCTGTGGTGGGGCAGGGCCGGAGGGCATGCACGGGGCAGAGCCTCGCGGACAGGGCGCAGGCTCCAGAGCGGGGACTGTCGGTGTGGGGGAGGCCCCGGGGCGTTTCCGAGTCCTGGGCTGCACTGTCGGGGATCCCTCGGGGGCTCTGCAGCCCAGCCCGTGCCAGGGGAGTGCCTGCTCTGGCTGTAACAGCCCCGTCGCCCGCAGCGTGTTAAAAGGCAGCCCGGCCTGTGATGGGGAGGGCGGCCTGGTCCCACCACATCTATCTGGCCAGTGGGCGCCATACGGTGCCAGGGCCTTTTCTCGCACGTCAGGACCCAGCAGACTCCACCTCTGCACTGGCATCGCAGTCAGCCCTGCATGGGCATCGGGAGATGGCACGAGGGCGCCTGCTTGCCCTGGGTCCCCCAGCGTCCCAGGGCAGTGCTGGGAGGAGGAGTGCCCACAGCTCCCTGCCCTGCAGTGAGATGCCAGCTGGGTTAATGGGGGCTGAGGTGCCAGGAGCTCCAGGATTGACGGTTGGGGGATGGCTGCCCATGGGGTTGGCCCCTTTCCCGGCACGGCTGCCCCCTCCGCTGACGTAATCTGCTCTGATCTGCAGGCTCAGGGCTGGCTCCTTTGCTGCTGTCTCCAAGCCGGGGCCCGGTGGAGCCGCAGCACCAGTGGCCAGCAGAGGGCAACAGGCTCAGGTATGTGCCGGCAGCTGCGGGCAGCACCCCCGGGGTGCAGAAGGCCTGGGAGTCATGGCAGAGTTCTGCTGGGCCCTGGGAATCCCAGGGAATCCAGCGCTGGCCTGTTTGCAAGGCGTGAGCTGCGGGGCAGGGAGTTTGTGCCGGGGCCGCGGGGAGGAGCCAGCTGAGGGCGCCTCTCCCCAAGGGCGGTGGCCGTGGCCTGACCCAGCTCCTCCTTGCAGGGCTGCAGACGATGGGCGTGGTGTGGGCCCCTCGGACCTGCCGGGCGCCGTGGCTCAGGCAGCGGAGCAGCGCTTCCACCGTGCCTTGCGGGGCCAAGAGGAGCCGGCCCCACCCGCAGGGCACAGGAAACCCCCCCCGCCTCTCCCATGTGCCTTCGCTCTCTAGCATGGCCCTGCGGGCAGCCGTGGCTCTGCTGACAGGTACAGCCCCATGGCCCTGCCCCCAGCCTAGTGCCCCCCAGCACCTTACCCGGTGTCTCCTCCACAGCACCCCGAAAACAGTACTGCAGCGGCCTGGCCTCCCTGACACCCCCGCTGGCCGAGCGCCTCCTGGCCCACATGATCCGCCACCGGCTGCTGCGCCCCAAGACCCTGGAGCTCTTCTTCGGCTGCCCCATACAGAGCCTGGTCCTCAGCTGCTACCCCTACGCCACCAACGAGCTGCTGCGCCAGGTGCAGGCCTTTCAGAGCCTCCGGCACCTCAGCCTGGTCTCCTGCCCCCTGCTCACCGGTATGCGGCGGGGTGGGGCTGGCTCGCCAGTCTGGGGCAGAACTGTTCACGGGGAAGGGGAGGATGTAGGGCAGGCCCAGGGACAGACACTAGGCCTGGGGTCTCTCTGCCCCTGAAGGCCCATGGAGCTTTGCCCCGGGTCCATGGAGTGCTGCGGGCAGCCCACGGTGGGGCAGTGCGGGCCAGGCTGTCGCATGCCCCTCTTTCTGTCTCTCTCTGGGGTGGCTGTGGTGTCCCCCCTCAGGTCCTGGCTCTCAGGGCAGGTTCCCTTGCGTGTGCATGACACAAGAGTCCCCACTCCAAGCTGGCACAGGCCTGGAGTGCAGGCAGGTAAAGGATTAATCAGGTTAACAGAGCGGAAACAAAGAGGCGTTCTACGTAACCTCAGTGCTCACAGTGGAGAGAGGTGTCACGGAGTGTGGGGGAGTCCAGGCCCTGCACCCCTCTTCCTGGGATCACTGTGACTCTCAGCCAGCCAGTAAAACAGAAAGTTTATTGGACAACAGGAACACAGTCCAAAACAGAGCTTGTGGGTAGAACCAGGACCGCTCAGTCAAGTCCTTCTGGGGGAGCAGGGAGCTTAGACCCCAGCCCTGGGGTTCCCTGCATTCCACCACCCAGCCCCAAACTGAAACTAAACCCCCCCAGCCGGCTCCCTGCTGCAGCCTGTCTTCACATTCCCAGGGCAGAGGTGTCACCTCCCCCTCCTGGCTCAGGTTACAGGCTCTCAGGTCTCCCATTGAAACTCTCCTGCCACATTCCCAGGTCAACACTCCCCCCTTCCTGCTGCGTCACAAGAGGTAAATAGCGGAGTCCCCCAGGGGTCTGTACTGGGACACTGGGCTAGATGGACCTTTGGTCTGACCCAGCCTGGCCGTTCTTATGGAAAAGGTTCAGAAAAGAGCAAGAAAAATGATGAGGGGGATGGAAGAGCTTCCATAGGAGGAAAGATTAATAAATCATAGAATCCTAGAATATCAGGGTTGGAAGGGACCTCAGGAGGTCATCTAGTCCAACCCCCTGCTCAAAGCAGGACCAATCCCCAACTAACTGGGACTGTTCAGCTTAGAAGAGAGACGACTGACGGGGGAGAGGACAGAGGGCTGTAAAATCATGGCTGGTGGGGATACAGTGACTAAGGACGTGTTGTTTACTCCTTCTCATAACACAAGAACTAGGGAAGTGATGATTCCCCTCTATTTGACACTGGTGAGGCCACACCTGGATTATTGCGTCCAGTTTTGGGCCCCCCACTACAGAAGGGATGTGGACAAATTGGAGAGAGTCCAGTGGGGGGCAACGAAAATGATTAGGGGACTGGGGCACATGACTTATGAGGAGAGGCTGAGGGTGTGACGAAGTGGGGCTGTTCTTAATGTTTCCTCTGAATAGTATGGGGGTGCCTCAGTTTCCCCTAGGCAGTTCTTAAGTATCTAGGGGGTGGGATAAGGGTGTATGATCACTGCAGAGCCCAAGAGGGCAGGTGTGTGCAGGACACAGAGAAGGGCCGACACCCTGTTTCCTGGCAACTGATGGCCTGGGCCGTTCCCCCTGCAAGGTGAGAGCTAAAGGGTTGGAGAACAAAGGAATCAGGTGCCCTCCTGGCCCGGGAAAGGAACAAAGCCCAAAGGAGGAGGGGCTGGAGGGGGTTTCAGTTTGGGGCTGGCTGGAGACATGGAGTGAAGTCCAGATGTGGTTGTCTGGCTCACTGCCCCCCAAAATGGACCCAGCTGAGGGGTCCTGTTCTCTGCATCTACAAGCTCTGTGTTAGACCATGTTCCTGTCGTCTAATAAACCCTCTGTTTTCCTGGCTGGCTGAGAGTCCCGTCTGACTGCGGAGTTGGGGGGCCAGGACCCTCTGACTTCCCCAGGACCCCACCTGGGCAGACTCGCTGTGGGAAGTGCACAGAGGGGCAGAGGAGGCTGAATGCTCCAAGGTCAGACCCAGAAAGGTGGAAGCTGTGTGAGCTGTGTGTCCTGCAGACAGGCTGCTCACAGAAAGGAGACTCTCCCAGAGTCCTGACTGGCTTCACGGGGAGCAGTTCCAGAGCATCGCCCAGGGACTCTGTGACAGAGGGAACTGGGGTTATTTAGTCTGCGGAAGAGAAGAATGAGGGGGGATTTGATAGCTGCTTTCAACTACCTGAAGGGGGGTTCCAAAGAGGATGGAGCTCGGCTGTTCTCAGTGGTGACAGAAGACAGAATAAGGAGCAATGGTCTCAAGTTGCAGTGCGGGGAGGTCTAGGTTGGATATTAGGAAACACTATTTCACTAGGAGGGTAGTGAAGCACTGGAATGCGTTACCTAGGGAGGTGGTGGATTCTCCATCCTTAGAGGTTTTTAAGGTGAGGCTTGACAAAGCCCTGGCTGGGATGATTTAGTTGGGGATTGGTCCTGCTTTGAGCAGGGGGTTGGACTAGATGACCTCCTGAGGTCCCTTCCAACCCTAATCTTCTATGATTCTATGAACAAGGGGTCACCCAATGAAATTAATAGGCGGCAGGTTTAAAACAAACAAAAGGAAGTATTTCTTCACACAGCGCACAGTCAACCTGTGGAACTCCTTGCCAGGGGATGTGTGAAGACCAAAAGTATAAATGGGTTCAAAAAAGAACTAGATAAGTTCATGGAGAGTAGGTCCATCAATGGCTATTAACCAGGAGGGGCAGGGACAGAACCCCATGCCCTGGGTGTCCCTAAACCTCTGCCTACCAGAAGCTGGGAGTGGGCGACAGGGACAGATCACTCGATAACTGCCCTGTTCTGTTCACTCCTTCTGAAGCCCCTGTTGCAGCCGGGGCCCTGGGCTGCATGGACCATTGGGATACTGTTAGGCGGGGGGGGGCACGGCTCTGTGCTCTCGGCGGGGTCGAGGCGCTCTGGCCGTGTGGGAAGGGAGCCCTGTGTACACTGGTCAGGATCCCCCCCAGGTTCCCACAAGGCCCCTTGGGCAGGATGGAGCCAGCGGCTCCAGCGTGGTGGTGGTGTGAGGTCTGCAGCCCCGGCCCTGATGTCCCCTCACTCTCCCTGCAGACCAGGGCCTATCCGTGGTGAGGCACCTGCGGAGACTTCAGCACCTCAACCTGTCAGCCTGTGTCAAGCTCACGGACACCTGCCTGCGCTTCCTTAAAGGTACAGCACGTGCACGGGGGCTGGCCTGTCTGGCGGGCCACACCCCCTGCATTGCCCCCTCCCACCTCTTCTCCCTCCCTGCGTCACGACCTCGCCCCTTCCCACTTCTCGTTACCCCCCCAGGTGCGGCCCCACCTGTTCCCCCCTTTGTGGCTGGACCCCAGGCACAGTGGCTTGGCCCAGCTCTTTGTCCTCAGGCCGCACCAGTCTCTGCCCCCGGTAACACCTGCTCCTCCTCCCCCCCCACCCCCCGCAGGGCTCCCGCACCTCTCGCACCTGGCTCTGGACCAGACCAAAATCAGTGATAGCGGCATGGCGGATTTCCTGCACTCGGCTCCCTCCGCACTCACCCACCTGAGCCTTAACAGGACGGGGATCACAGACCGCACGCTGCGTCTGCTGCCCCAGTACGCACCTGGCCTGGTGCTGCTCAGCCTCAAGCAGACCGAGGTGATGGGCCACGAGTGGGGGCGGGGCACGGGGCCTTCTCCTCTAGGGCGCCGGCTGCGATCCCACCCCGGGACGGGGACTGGCTGGCTCAGGGGGCGGGGAATGGGACACGGGGCCTTTCCCCTCTAGGCGGTGCTGGCTCCCATCTGGCTGCAGGTCGGAGACTGCTTGGCTCGGGGGTGGGGAATGGGGCACGGGGCCGATGGGCAGCAGGATGAGCCCCCTTTGGGGAAGCTAGCCCCCCAGTCCTTCCCCACCCCGTCCTCCCCCCTGCAGCTGGAGCTCCGAGCCCCCCCCAGCCCAGAAGAGCCTCGAGCTGGCCAGAGCCGCCCTAGCCGCGCTGCGTCTCCCCTCCTGAGACCCTGAGCCACTCTGTGGGAAAAGCTCATCTCTCTTCCCGAAGAACCTGAGCTTTTACTATGCCCCATGCAGGTTCCGGGGCGTCTGAGGAGGCCGTATCTGGTACTCAGCTTCCTGGGCTCAGCAGCCCTCTCCTTGGAGTTCGGGGCTGTCGCTGCTGAACCCAGGAAGCTGAGTATCACATATCCCTGCCTCAGCTGCCCCGGAACCTGCGTGGGGCATAATAATAAGCAAAGATTTCCCTGTGCAAACCGCTAAAACCCACTACTAGGTGTCCGGTGGTGGTCGCTGCCTCAGGGGAGGGGAGGGTAGGCCTGTTCTATCCACCGCCTGTGTCGGGGCCTCTCCCCTTCAGGGGGTGCTGGCTCCCATCCTGGCTGGCTCTGGGGACAGGGGATGGAGTAGGAGGCCATTCCCCTCTAGGCAGGGTTGCCCGGGGCGTGGTTCTGACGGGCAGTTGGTCTCTGGCAGATCTTGGATTTCTCTGCCCTGCAGCAGCTGAGCCGGCTGCACACGCTGCACCTGGATGACACCCGCGTGAGCCAAGCCTCCCTGGCGGCCCTGGCCTCCCACCCTGCCCTCTCCACGCTCACCCTGTCTGGAGTGCAGTCCGTGGATGGTGACCAGGCCCTGCAGCTGGTCTCAGGTAGGAGCGCCCTGGGCTGGTGGTCCCCGGCCGAGCTCGGCAAGAGCACCAGGGCCCCGGGCCCCATGGAGAAGCAGTGACTAGCTGCCCGTGCAGGGCCCTGCCCTCAAGGTGCTGTGGCCACCCACGGCGTGTCTTGCCGCCCAAGGGCCCCTCGCGTGCTCGGGGTGTGGTGTCCCTGTCGGAGCTGGGCACTGGGCGAGGGGCTGGGCTGGGCCGGATCCCAGGGTGGCGGGTGGGGCCAGCGGGAGCCCCAGAGCTGTGCTGTCGGTCTGGGAGGATGGGGTGAGGGCCACTCACTGCCCCGCTGGCTGTTTCAGGCCTGCCACTGGCCCAGCTGAGCCTGCCATGCCGGCACACAGTCACCGACTCCGGCCTGCACTTCCTGTGCCGCCTGGAGGGGCTGCTGGAGCTGGACCTGACCGATTTCACCCACATCACTGACGAGGGGCTGCGCCATCTGCCCCAGCTGCACAGGTGCCTGGGAGAAGAGGGAGGCCTCCAGCCCCTGTGGGCACCCTTCCCCCCGTGTCCCTGGTTGGCGCCAGGCGTGCGCTGGGGTCTGCCGGGCACTGTGGCCTGGGTGCTGGGACTTGGGATAAGGCCCCCCTGGCTGGCCTGGGGCAGGTTCTCGGAGGCGTGGCGAGCCCGGCTGCAGGTTGGGAGAGGAGCCCAGCAGAGCAGGGGCTGGTGGTGTCGGGGCTCAGGGTGGGCTTCCAGGAAGCCCCGGGATGGACCCCGAGGCCGAGCCCCAATGGACCTGCGTGCACTCCCTGAGCTGCCGCGCTCTGCACCGGGGCAGTGACGCTGGGGGGAGGGGCTGAGCACTAGGTCCCCATGGGGGAGGGAGCCGCCAGCCCCCGCTGATGCCCCTGTCCCTGCCCCAGGCTGCGGCGGCTCTCGCTCTGCAACACTCTGGTGACTGACTGCGGGCTGCAGCACCTGCAAGGCCTGCGGCACCTCGAGGAGCTGTGCCTGGATCGGACCGCTGTCTCCAGCGCAGGCGTGGCCCGCTGCATCACCCGGCTGCCCCTCCTGCAGGTACTGGGCGGGGGACACAGCGGGGCCACCCGCTCTGCAGCTGCCCAGGGCTAGCAGGGAAGGCTGGTACCTGGGTTCTCCCCAGGCATCCCCTCCCCTTCCCCCGTGAAAAGTCTCTGCCCCAGCTGGGCCTGGGGCTTCCTGCCACGTGGGCAGAGCTGGCACCTTGGCAGCGAATGGGGTGCAGCATAGCAGTGGGTTCTGGCAACACCCCCACGGTGCTTGGCCCAGACACTCTTCCCCCATGGGAACGGCTGAGGCACCCCGCCCCCAAGCAGGCCAGGTTGTGACCCACGGCAACGGAGGTGGGAGGGGCTGGGGGGTGCCTGTGGCAGGAAGACGCCTGCCTGGGGCTGCTGCCTGCGTGCCAGGAGATGGAGCTGCTGCTCACTCCAGAGCCCAGGCAGGCAGCGCTGCGGATGAGCTGTGGGGCATGGATGGACACTGAGACCCAGGGGCCGGCTGCCCGCAGAGTGGCGCAAGGGCTGCTGTGCTGGGTGGGTTACTCGCTGCCCCCTCAGCCTGGGGGGCGGGGTGGGTGCAGGCCGCGGGGCGCAGCATGTTCTGAAGCCAGCCGGCTGTCGCAGGTGCTGGGCCTGGCGAGCACGCCCGTGGGAGACAGCGTGGTGAGGATGGGTGTCAGCCGCTGCAAGCAGCTCCTCAAGGTGAACCTGAGCCGCACCCGCGTCACCGACCGAGGTGAGCCCCCGCCAGGCCGGATGCTGGGGGGAGGGCTGCCGGGCTCCCACTCGCCCCGGGGCAGCATGGGGAAGGGGTGGGGGACTGGCCACAGGCCCGTTCTGGGGGCGAGGAGTGGGAAGGAGCTGGGTGCCCATGCCAGCTGGCTGGGTCGCGCTGCCCGGGCTAACCCCTCGCCTCTCTCCACTCTAGGGCTGCGCTTCCTCCGCCAAGTGCCCATCGCTCAGGTGAACCTGGATGGCTCTGGGGTGACGGCGGCCGGCGTGGCCAGCCTCCTGGCTGCCTGCCCCAGCATCGTCAGCATCCGGGCCAGCCACCTGCAGACGCTGTCCCCCGAGCAGCTGTCAGACGAGGAGCTCCCCAGTTAGGCCTGGCGCCGCCCTCCTATGGTCCTGCCTGCGCGGCTCGCCTGGGGGCCCCTCCCCATCGCAGCCCCGGGGCCGGCCTGCCTGCTCTGCAGGGCTCAGCACCCCAGCCTGGTGGGGGGGCGCGGGGCTGCCAGGCTCGGGCAGGCTCCTCCCACAGCACCGTGGGTGCACGGCGTCCTGCCACAGGCTGTGTGGGCCAGTTTGGGGGCTTGTTGAATAAAGCAGTATCCTCTGGCTGAATTCTCCTCCTGTGCCCGGGGAGAGGCCCTGCTCTCCCAGCCAGCTTCTGGCACCCGCCAGTGAGGGGAGCCCTACGGAAAGGCCTCTCTACAAACCACGTTCCTTGACCTTGGGCCCCACAGAGCCCCCCTCTGGGGCTGGCTCGGTGCAAGCAGGGCCTCAGTGCTGTCAGACAGGGGTTCAACCTGCGGTAGCAAACCCCCCCTGCCCAAGAGAGGCGGAGCCAGCTGCCCCCTCCCCGCAGCACATGGGGGGCCACCCTGTAGGGACAGACCGAGCCCCCTCCCCCAAGGAGCCAACCCCACTGGGCCATGAGGCTGCTGGAGGCGGGGAGGGGAGGGGAGCGGAGCAGGTCGGTGCCAAGGGAGCCAGCCTGGAGGCGGCTGAGTGAAGGTGGGACGCCAGCCTCTGTAGGAGCAGGAGGGAGACGTACGTTTCCCCGCTCGGCCCTGCTGAAGCTACAGGAGCCCTGTCCCCATGGGGGCCCTGTGCCCCCCAGGGGCTGAAACGAGGGGAGCCCTGTGGCCCACCCCCCCCCCAGGGCTGAGACTAGGGGAGCCCTGACCCCAGCCTGGAGGGTGGTGACATGTTGAGTCCCAGCCCCCCAGGGCTCATAGTGGGGGCAGCACCTACCCCAGGCCAGCTTGTTGTCGTCCCCCGCCCCCGGAGGGTTCCCATTTCCCAGGCTGGGCACCTGCCCCTCCCTGGTCGCAGACAAGGGGGCAAGCCGTGCCCTGCAGGTCAGCGTGGTGCTCCCCGGGTACCCAGCCTTGGGAGGCAGCGCTCCATCACCTGCCCTTGGCGTGAAGGGGCTAGGCCTGGGGTTTGGCTCACCGGACCCACCAGCCTCTAGCAGGGCCAGGCCTGCCTTCCAGGGCCCCAGAGGTCTCGTCCTCTGAAGAAGGCAGCAATAGGCACAACCAGCTTCCGAGTCCTTGGGGTTTCTCTGGGGTGCCCTGATCTCTCCGAATCCCCAGGCCTGCTGCTCCCACGGGCACAGACCACACCAGTGCGGGGGAGGCGGCTCCGGTCCCGTGAATGCTCAGCACTGAGATGTGGTGATAGTGAAAACCAGATTCGGGGGGCACTGAGTAAGAACGCTGGATACAAACGGTTACATATAAAACAAAATTATAACTCGCTTTTTAGAGACTGAACTTAACTAACACGTGACCCTCTTGTCTAGTGACGCTTGTTTCACCCCACGGTCTTGCCAGCAGTTTCAGCTGTGCCTGCTGGATGCCGCTTTCGTGAAGCAAACGCGCTGCCCGGTTCCTTGCCCTGGAGAGGGTGACGGGGTGTCACCTTTGTGCCCCAATGTACTAGAGCAAACCTTTGACGTGACCTTGAGACAGCCCTGCCCCAGGGTCGCCAGGCGTCTGGGTTTTGACCGGAAGGCCCAGTCGGAAAGGAACCCTGGCAGCTCCGGTCGGCACTGCTGACAGGACCATTTAAAGTCCCATTGGGGGTGCAGCAGGGCTAAGGCAGGACAGTCCCTACGTGGCACCGCACTGTGCCCCGGAAGCGGCCAGCAGGTCCCAGCACCCCCTAGGTGGAGGGGCATCAGGGCAATCCATGAACTGCTCCCATTGGCCGGCAACCATGGCCCCAGGGAGCTGCGGGCGTGGGCAGGGCACAGAGCCACCTGGCTGCCCCTGCGTCTAGGGGCCAGACAGCATCCGCTACCAGGAGCATCGTGGAGTCAGGGCAGGCCTGCCTTAGCCCCTCTGCGCTGCTGACTGGGAGCCGCCTGGTAAGTGGAGCCTGCACCCCAAACCCCCTCCTGCACCCCAACCCCCTTGCACCCTAACTCCCTCCCAGAGTTCACGCCACAACCCCCTGAGCCCCCTCCCATACCCCTCCTAGAGCCCGCATCCCAGCCCTGAGCCCTCCCAGCCCAAACCCCAGGCCCCCGCAGCTGGAGCCTGCACCCCAAACCCCAGCCCTGAACCTCTCATTTCTGTCCCCACCCCAGGGTCCTCGGCCCCTCCTGCGCCCCTGCCCCAGCCCAGGGAAAGTGACAGGGAGGTGGATGGAGTGGGCAGGGCAGGGGTGTTCGGTTTTGTGTGATTAGAAAGTTGGCAACTCTAGTCTGCCCTCCCCTCGGGTACATCTTCCTGGTACTTTTCTGTGATGTTTTCGGACTCCTGCGTCAGCGTTCGGTTCAGCCTGCAGAGGAGACCACTGGCAGCCAGGCTCCTCCATTTGCAGGTGGGCAGCTCTGGTCCCACAGAAGATGCTCGTCACCCCTAGCCGCAGGCCTGGCAAGCATGGCTGCTGGATACGTCTGTGCCCCCTCCCAGGGGGTCTGTACGTGCATTTCACACGGAGGCTGGGGACTAGTGAGACAGCGGCTGTCACGGGAGCCCTCCTGTGCCAGTCTCTGGTGCCCTAGGACATACGCTCCAGACACAGGAGCTCCCCGTAACCCTGTGCACCTCTGGGACCCTTTACTGTGGGCACCCAGAGGTACCTGGGTCAAAATCGACTACTGCACCCTTTGCCCCCAGGCCTGGGACAGGTGAGCGGCCTGCCAGGCTCCCCCCAGGCATGCTGAGTGGCAGAGCCAGCCAGGCAGGGCACAGGCCTGCTGGAGAGGGAAGACTGGGCCTTGGGGAGCCCTGCACCTGGCTCCAGCAGCCCTGGGCTTGCACCTTGCAGGCCCAAGGTGCCCCCAGCCCCACGGCAGGTGTGTTGCACCCTGTGCCAGGAGGGGGCTGGCTCCAGGCAGAGCTAGGTGTTAGGGGGCTTATTCCTTCACCACTTACTTCCCTGGTCCTTCTCGCATGAACAGAGAGCAACAATACCCGAAGTCCAAAGGTGCAAACAATTCAATGTTTATTGGGGTGAACTTCCAGCAAGCATGATTCCAGTTTCCTTCCTTAGTATCCCCGTTCCCAGCTCTGACACCACAGAGCCTTACACCTGTGTCCCTGTTCCCATTCCTGCCCTTAGCCAAACATGATTCCAATTTCCCCAGCCCCATTCCCTGTTCCCATTTCTCCCTTTAGCAAAACATGATTCCAATTTCCTTACCCCCATTCCCTGTTCCCATCTCCCATCTCCACACCCACCCACACACCCACCCCCTCACTTCCTGATTGACTGCAGACTATACAGTAAAACTTGAGTTCTGCTTTGCTATACCTTAACCAATCATTTCCCTGAAATTTAACGAACCAATCCTAACATATTGTAACATGATTATGTAACCAATTATATCCCACCACCTCAATTAGTTTACACCCAGCAAAATTAATTATACAGCAGACAGGAACAATCACAGAACCAGACAGAGATTATACAGACAAACAACAGCAAAGTGGGAACTATAATGACAAAACAATACAGAAGTGAGGATTTCACATCCCAGCTATTGATAAGTGAGTTCTTGCCAGACAGGATGCTACCAAACTAAGTTTCCTTTTACATTTTCTAGGCACTTCCCTTCCTCTGGAGGTGATAGGAATACAATCCTGTCCTGATAGTGCCTAACAGCCCAATAGCACCTTATTTCAATGTGACTAGTTTGGAATGTGAGGATGTGACCGGTCGCTTCCCAGCTTATGGCTGCCTCTGCTGCTTAGCCAAAGGCCTGAGCCTAAGCACAGGGCCTCAGACTGTCACAGTAAGAGAAGGCCCTTACACTGGCAGACAGTGGTTTTGATTCTTTCTTTTATACCTCTAACTAGCCAAGTGATAAGAATACCCCTAAATTCTTAGAGTATAGGCCTTTACAGACAGACCTGAATATCTATATCCTAACACTAGGCACGGGGCGGGGGGGTTGCAGAGGTGCTGCCAGGCCTTCCCCTCCCCCTGCGAGACTTCTGCTGTAGTCGGCCCCGGAGTGCGGGTGCCGTGATGGGCAGAGAGCCCCAGCAACTGCCCCTTTTGCAGCCGCAGCTCCCCTGCCCCACACCACGAGCTGCACAGCACAGGGCAATGAGAGTGCATGCCACTGCCCTGCACCGTGCCCCCTGCTGGGACTGGAGGAGCCGGGAGCTCCCCCCATAGCCAACCCCCTGCCCTGCCCCCCACAGTGCCCCGGGCAGGGACTGGAGTAGCCAGGAGCTCCCCCCCAGCCCTGCTCCAGGCCCCTGGTGCCAGAGGCCAGGCCCCGACAGCTGGCTCTGTGCGGGGCTGGCCCTGTGGAGGCCGCGGTGCGGGCAGGGGCTACGGGAGCCCTGCAGCTGCTGGCACGTGTTGGTCTCGCTGCTCCAGGGCGGGGCACCTGCTCCAGGGTAGCCGTCCGGATTCCCATTCCCTCCCCTTCAGCCAGGCTGGCTCTGGGGCTGCCCCCCCAGCTGTGCCTGTATCCCCCACCCTGGCACCAGGGGGCGCTGTGCTGGGGAGGTGCTGCCCCCCGGCTGTGCCTGTATCCCCCACCCTGGCACCAGGGGGCGCTGTGATGGGGAGGTGCTGCCTCCCCTCCCCCCTGGCTGTGCCAGTATCCCCCACCCTGGCACCAGGGGGCACTGTGCTGGATAGGGGCTGCCCCCCCCGGCTGTGCCCGTATCCCCCAGCCTGGCACCAGGGGGCACTGTGCTGGGGAGGTTCTGCCCCCTCTCCCCCCCGGCTGTGCCCGTATCCCCCACCCTGGCACCAGGGGGCGCTGTGCTGGGAAGGTTCTGCCCCCCCAGCTGTGTCCGTATCCCCCACCCTGGCACCAGGGGGCGCTGTGCTGGGGAGGTTCTGCCCCCCCGGCTGTGCCCGTATCCCCCACCCTGGCACCAGAGGGCGCTGTGCTGGGGAGGTGCTGCCCCCTTCTCCCCCCGGCTGTGCCCGTATCCCCCAGCCTGGCACCAGGGGGCGCTGTGCTGGGGAGGTTCTGCCCCCGGCTGTGCCCGTATCCCCCACCCTGGCACCAGGGGGCGCTGTGCTGGGAAGGTTCTGCCCCCCAGCTGTGTCCGTATCCCCCACCCTGGCACCAGGGGCCTGTCTGGGAGGTTCTGCCCCCCGCTGTGCCCGTATCCCCCACCCTGGCACCAGAG